CCCCTCCTGGAGTCCCCGCTGGGCCGCCCCCTCCCGTGACCCCCTCCACTGGACCACCCTCAACCGGCCGCAGCCCCCACTGAACCGCCCCTTCCCAGTCCCCCTCGCGCCTACCCACGCGGTGCCCTGGTCACAGCTCGTGGACGTCCCAGAACCCTCTGAGACAGATATGGAGAGAGACATTCCCCGCCCCCACCCCAGCAGTGCCGCCCCTTGGACAAGTGCCAGCCCCTTGACCCCTGCGGCAGCCCTGCCCCCCATGCCATCCTGAGCAAGAAGTTCATGTGCTTTTTCTTTTAGTCTCATTTTAAAACCTATTCCTGGCTTACTCCCAAGCTCAAGCCAGGGACACTGGTCACTGCGCCAGGCAGGACGGGACTGCTGGGGTTTGTCGGAGTTCCCCCTCCCCCACGCAGCAGCAGCAGCCTGTGCGCCTCACCCTGACCCACATTTGGTCTGGTGAGTCCGGTGGCTGCCTCGGGACTCCAGCCAGGCACAGATGCCTGCTCTTGGGGTCATAGACAGCAAGCTCCCCACCCCGCATGCGCCCAGTGTCTGGGCCACACTGGTGCTTCCCCGTACCCCTGTCCCCTCCCCCCCCAGGACTGTGCAGGATCCAGCCAGGCTCTGTACGAGGAGGCAGGAAGCTGAGGGGATGGGGGGGGGGAGGGAGTAGCGGGGGTTCAGCAAGGAAAGCCAATGGGGAGAGAAGCAGGTGCAGGCCCCAGGCTGCACTACCCAGCAGGTAGTGGGGTCACTGCAGGCCGTGTGCAGGGAGAGGATCAGGGAGAAGGGGTCGCTGGCCACCAGCCATTCCAGAGAGGCCCTGGGGGCCAAAAGCCCAATGTGTGTGCAGCACACAGGAAGGGCCCTGTGGTCACTCTACCCTGACCACTGTGTAGGGGCAGGACCCAGGCCTCACACATTGCGGGGGGAACATAAAGAGGCGGGAGGGGCACAAAGACAAAGAGATGATCGTGAGGTCTGGCTGGACAGAGCAGAAGGGGAGGCCAGCCTGTGGGACCCTCCCAGGAAAGAACCGCTGGTCGGTGTGTGGGTACCCACAGTCCCTGCCAGTGGCCCTCCCACCTCTCCACAGCCGGCCCCCTCCTCTGGACTGGGCCTGTGTGTGCTGCAGCGAGCCCTTTAAGGAGCACTGGCCTCCGGGTCACTGGACAGTGAGCTCCATCATCCAGGCTGCCTGCAGGTTGGGGCATGACCAGGGAGGTTGGGGGGTGCCCAGGCTGCGACTCCTGGGCTTGAATTGTGAGGAGCCCTCAAGTGCCCCCGCTGATCTCCCCTTTTCTCCGCTGGGAAGGGGAGAACCGGAGCCTGGCCTCATGACCTCAGAAGTGTCCCCTACACCCTCACACCGCTGGAAAAGCAGGCACAAAGGGGCTTGGCCACCAGGCACCCACGGCCAGAGCCATTCCGGCCCATGGTCTGGCCATGTTAGGGAACAGGCCTGGTCATCTTCTGTCCAGATGGTGGGAGCCCATGCTCAGCGGGCCCACCGTGGCTGGGTGAGGATTGTGGGGTGCCTGTCAGAGCCCTCCAGGAATCCAGCCCAGCACCCTGTACATGAGTGACAACCTGCCGCCCCATCCCTGGACCGCCCTGAGACCTTCCAGAAGGGTCCTAAGTGGGGCCTGGGGTGGCTCGGAGGTAAGGCAGCTGAGGAGGCAGCAGGGTCCCTGGCAGGAAGCTGCTGTGTTCTCCGCCTGTTCTGGCTTCTCCACAAGCAGGTGGGAGCCCGACCACCCGCAGGCTCCACTCAGCAAACTGAAGGGACAGAACCTGTGCCCGGTTTGAATGCAGCTGTCGCAGCTCCTTTAGCCTCACGGGGAGGCCACAGAAGCTCTCCAGGCTCCAGGGCGGCCTGAGGTAGACTCCGGCTCCCAGCAGGCAGCCCTGGCCCAACCACACAGACTCTGTCTGGAGGAGCAGGCCTCTAACTCAGGGAGAGAGCCCACCTCCGAAAGGAGGGCCCGTGCAATGGGGCCTGGCGGGTGGCCTTGAGCATTTTGGAGAGAGCAGGAAGGAATGAGGTTTTTAAAACTAATTTCTAGTTTTATTATTAAAATTAAAGAAACATAGCAGTTCACGCAGAAACTAGAACAGAAAAGGAACAAAATGGACAAAGAAAGTAGAGAAGAATGAAATGAGAAAAGCAGAAATTCATTATTTTACTTGAAAAGCAAATAAAACTTGATTTTTTTCTTTTTACCCAAAAGATAGTTTCTCAAAACAAAAAAATATGGCATACTGAATGCTCTGGATGACTTGACCAAGAAATACAGTAAAAAACGGATGGCATGGTTAGGACTGATGCAGCACTGCAGTCTGAGGGCTGGGACAGCCTACCCACATGCAGACAACGTCCTGCACCTGCGAAAACGTGAGGACTTACCGCGCCTGCGCAGAACGCAAGCGCGGAGGCTAGGTGAGGCCGCCCAGGGGCGAAGGCTGCGCCTGCCACAGACCTAACCAACCCTCCGATCTTTGTGCTGGGCCCTCGGCTGTGAACCCATAGTCCTCAGTCCGCAGAGGTCAGTGCCTATTAGTCATTCGTATATCTTTGTTATGAGTCTGTTCAAGTCTCATGCGTATTTTGAATATTGAATCGTGAGTTGTGAAGGTTGTTTATGTATTGTGAGTAGGAGTCCTGTGTTAGATGCATGGAATCTGAATATTTTCTCCTAGGTGTGGATTGTCTTGTTGGCTTAATGGTGCCTCTTGAAGAGCATAAGGATTTAATTTTGATGAAGTGCAGCGTGTCCATTTTGCCTTTCATTGCTTGCTGTAGCCTGAGAAATATTTGCCCACCCCAAGGTTGGGAAAATCTCCCATGTTTTCATCCATAACAGCACTGTCCAGCAGACTTTTCTGCAGTGATGGAAATGTCCCATATGTGTTCTGTCCAATCTGGTGGCCACCGGCTGCATGTGAGTGCAAGAAATAGGCTACAAATTGAAATTGTTACTTAATTTAAATGTAAATACCATGTGGGCCAGCCGAGTGGCGTGTTGGTTAAGAGCTGGCTTGGGATGCCAGAGGGCCCCTGTTCGGATCCCACAAGAGGGCCAGTGACACTGCCCCCTACAGCTAAGATGCTGAACAACAGCTGGACCTGGAGCTGGGCTGCCCTGAGTCGCTGGGGCGACAGCAGGTGGGTTGCCATGGGCTACCGTGTGTAGCCAGCAGCCAGCGTGAGCGGCTGTCCAGAGGCTGGCGACTGATCTGCCTCGCCCGGGAAGAGCGCAATGATGGTGCCAAATTGGGCCAGTGAGGCAATGTCCTCCACAGCTAGACTGAAGAACAAAAACGACAGCAACTTGTCTGTTCCCCTTCCCCCAATTCCCCAGCGCTGTTCCCACCCCCCAATTCCCCAATTAAAAAAAAAATCTTTAAAAAAAACAAACAAACAAAAAACATCCTGCCTAAGAGAAAGCTTATAAGAGTTTATTTGAGCCAAACTGACGACTATTCCCGGGAAGCAAAATCTCAACAGATTGAGAAAATGCTCCACAACATGGCGGTTTGCAGCTTATTTTATACATAGAATCAAAGAAAGAGGGTTACGTAAAATCCACTGGTGACAGATTAAGGGGTGGGAGAAAGCAAGTGGGGAAATATCTGGGATTGGATAAAAGTATATTGGAGAGACAGATATTTCTCTCACATAGGTGGTGCAGGATAGCTAACAGTTCGCTTTTTACAGCACGCAAAGATGGTAATCAAGGGACAAGAATAATGAGGAGGGATTCTGTAGTTTCCTGCTCTGGTCTGGAAAAAGGGATGACTGACATTCCAAGGGCATCTATCTTATCCTAGATGCAAAAAGACAATAGACAGGCTCACTTAAGGTGAAGATTGACTTTATGAAGGAAGCTTCAGGCTAAAGATGTGACTTCCCTCCATGGCCCACCTTAGTTATGAATTTTTTTATGCTCATGCCATCTTATGTGGTTATATTTTCAGTCTCCAGACCTTGTCAGGTTAATATGTGGCCCCTTTTACGTCCACAGTTCCCCTTTTGGTCATAAATCAATCTGAAGGATGCACTGATGACCAACCTTTTGGTTGGATAGTGTGGTCCCGCGGCGCTAGGAAGGCTCATTCGTAGGAAGTCACAGTGTCAGCATTTATCTTGCTGAATGTTGGACCATTGGGGATGGGGTAAGACCATAACCCTAGATGGCAGTCAAGGCCAAATTATTTATTTGTATTTAAAAGAAAATGTGAGCAAATAGGAGACAGTCAGATCCTATATGTCTTCATTAAATATATTCTGGATCATTTTTAATCTTTGAGCTATCATGATCCAAGTTTTTTCCTCTGTCTGTCTTAACGTTACTTTTCGTATCCAGTATAACATGTACAAACTAGGACCAAGAGCAATAGTATTAAACCAGTAACACCAATGAGGAGCAGAAAATGTCTGTTAGACAAATATGAGTCGGAGGGAAGCAAACATCCTAGCCAACCAAAGAAGTCTTTACGTGTATTATCATAACTTTTTATTAAGTTAATATGTTTCTCTCCCCCATTGTCTGCTTTTGATATTATTTGTACCTTATGATAAATTAGGCCAGATAAATGAAGACTCTGTTATTTTATGATCTAGAAGTTCTAATTTTTCTTATGGCTAATTACTTTCCATAGAAATGACTTCATGGGGAGGATTATGTTCAATTTCCCAATACACTGGATTTTCAGTATCAATATTATCATGGGTTTTATTAGCCTCAGGCCTATTATTTTAGTATTACACCATACTCCCATAGCATTTACAGTAAACCTGGTGTCGTTGCAATAGAAATTAATTAGTATAACAAGAATTTTCTAACCCTTCCCAATAAGAAACGTTCCCTTCCCATACACCATATATTGTTGTTGGTTGGGGGGGATACTGATAGGCCAGGATTCGGTGAACTCAGAATTCCATATAGATTGGGGACAGAACCATTCACCTTTTTTATTTAATATGGCCTATCTAGTTTACATTGGAAGCATTCAAGTGTCATTCATTAATCTGATTTCTGCTAGTTGTATAACTGGGAACTGTAACTTTAAGGTTAAATAGGGGCCAAGGCTGTAAGAACACAGTGGTGTAAATTACAATTAGTACCTAAAAATTTCTAGAGGCCAGGACAGTAAGAGTTTCATGAATAAATTTCCTGTTTCT